AGGGTTTCTCTGTGTAGCTTTGGTGCCTGTCCTGGATCTCGCTCTGTAGACCAGGCTGGCCTCAAACTCACAGAGATCTGCCTGGCTCTGCCTCCCGAGTGCTGGTATTAAAGGCGTGCACCACCACCTCCTTGCCTTTCTAGTTTCGTTTGAGATAGGCTCTTACTATATCCCAGGTGGGCCTTGAACTCACCTTGTAGCCCATGCTAGCCTCAACCTTGTGATTCTCCTGCCTGAGTCTCTTGTATGTTAAAATTCTGGGCATGCACCACCACATCTAGCCCAGGTACATGTTTTCTTTTCATTAATTGTAGTGTCTGAGTAATATTGTCTATCACATTGGGCTACTATAAGTTATTCAGAATTTTATTACTGATAAATTTTATGTTGTTTATATATATATTTTATCTCATCAGTGTATAGCAGTGACCAGTCAACATAAATCTTTGACTATATTTCTGTCATTTCATCACAATGATTTTTGGTAAGTATTCGATGCTTTTTGATGAAATTAAGAACATGTTTTGTCTCCACACTATTTTTGCTTGGCACTCTTCAGACATCATGACCACACTTTCCTAAAACCGCTCCTTTAAATTAAAGAGAGAGACAGAGACAGAGACAGAGACAGGGCCGGGGGACAGTGAACAAACTTGGCGTATTAAGCACCAGATGCGATATTCTGGTGAGAAGAACTGGGTTTGATTCTCAACACTGTTTAGACCGCAAAGGCAGCTGCTAACCTGTGTTGTGTGCCTCCAGCTGTGACAGGGAGTTCACAGCCACCTTGCATAGTGAACAATAGAGTAATTTTTTGGCTTTCTCTTCTTCTGATTCAGCAACAGACCCCGGAGCGCCATTTGTGCTCTTGGAGGGAGAAGTGATGGCCGCCGGGGGCAGGGGCGTGGCTCCAGACTTGAGGAGAAAGGAGCCTCCTTCAGAGCCAGAGGGCTGACTGGAACTGGCGGCTTTCAACTTCGCTTTGTCTTCTAAGAAAGACACAGAGAGGTGTTATTAAAGTTCCCCATCCCATACAGGCCAGAATTAGAAGCAGGACTTTGATTTCCATATCAAATAGGAAAACCACCATAGGTTCTTTTTAAGGTTAGCACAGATTTTAGCTTGTAGAGCTTGATTGAAATAAAACCCCACCCCATAAGCTTCTATATCAGATCACCCCCAAATCATGGTGATCTATGAAGCATGACTTTGGTCTCCCACTTAAAATAGGTGATTGTTCTGAAATCCCTGAGTCATAAATCACGCTCTATAAAAAGCTTTACTATAACAAAATCAGGTACTCTTCAGTATGATGGCAAGGCAAGATGGCAACCTGAGATGTGTCATTAGCCCATGCTGGTTTCAGCTGACTACTTGTGACTTAGTTACGGCATGGGTATGAAGTTAAAATTTAACTTTGACACCAAGTCAAAACTTTACCTTTGTGTGCTTGGGAAGGGAAGAAACATGGTTAATTGTGGTTATGATTAGTTAAGTTTTCCCTGCTTTCTGAATGGCCATGTACTGTATCCAAAACATGGAGGTTCCATTCCTCAGGCTTATGAATTATTGCCCATCTGAATAAAAAGTTTTCAATAATCACATCAACCACACTCACAACATGAGTATTAGTCAAATAATTTAAAGACATCTTGACATTTTTCATCACACAATTTCTGAAGGCTTCTTATCCTGAAGGGCCCTGAGCAGGCTGTGAGGGGTCATAACGACACTGATAGAATGAATCTAAGGCATTGTTCAGTGACTCCCCTGTGAAGAAAAGCTGGAGCCTCGTGGGCAACAGCACACCCATCTCATGTTTAATTCTAGTAGAGTTGGCACTCTTAGAAAATGTCTAGAGAAGGCTAACTAACTTGCATTAAGAGAGGAAGACTATGGGAAAACATATTTGTTAATTGTCCTAGGCAGTTCAAGACTGCATACAATTGGCTTAGATGACCACCAATTGATTTGTCCTTTTCTATGTTTATTCACAAAATTCTGCACATGGCAAACCAAAGCTTTCAGTGTTTACTATAATGATTTTAAAAGCTTCCTTAACCTGGGGATTCACCATTTTGCATCTTTCCTCCATGTTGGGTGCATGTCAAGAATAACATGGAAAGACTGGACAAGCAAGAGTGCCCTTGAGAGGGCCCCGATCTGAGGAGCCAAGAGCTGTATTTTCTGCTTCTACATTTTGTATGCCCTTTCAGAAAATATATTCAAACTTGAGGATGAGATGAAGTTTGATGCGAAAAGTCTGCGACTTTTGTAAAAGTGAGAGGCAGATTATTATTACTCCTAATTGGTAAGAGTAAATCAAGGTGGAGACTCATGGTTGAGATTTGAACTCCTTCATCTGCAAGCATCTCTTAGAGGGAGTCTAAGAGAACTCATGAGCAGCAAAGGAATGTGGCATTCTTCCAGGGTGCTGCGGGAGCTGCCCAGCTCTTGTGATGGAGACACGTTACTGCACACAGGTTACTTCCTGCTCCAATCATTTCATTTGTTATTTCATATGAATTTGACCTGCGAGCTAGTGGTCTACTCACTCACTCTTCCTGATGGTACCATGTTAGGTTCCTGATATTAATGTTCCCCATGTACCTGTATGTTTATGTCAAACTTTGTAGCTAAGAAGTACTACTAACATTATTCTCTTATAACAAATCTGTGGGATAGGTAAAGCTGAAAATATTTTTTTTCTCATTTAAAAGGTAAGGAAACTGAACTTCATAAATGAGTGTCATGTTTCCCATACCTGGTCTTCATGTGGTATACCAATCTTTTTTCAAAAAGGAGAAGCGACTTAATATATCATCATTAATATTACAGATGTACACAAAAGCCATCCTACATATGAGCTAGCTGCTGTTTAGTTTTAAGACATTTTTTTCTTTTTTTGAATTTAAGTTTTTTTGAGAATTTCATATACAAGTGTAGTATTTAGATCATTTTCACCCTCCCTTTTTTGTTTTATTTTCACACACACACACACACACACACACACACACACACACACACACACAAAGAGAGAGAGAGAGAGAGAGAGAGAGAGAGAGAGAGAAATCAGCCTGCCATTTATTTTTCTTAAGTGAAGGTACTGTACATTATGCTCAATAATCACTGCTTTACGTTACAAGGTGTATAAAATATACACTTTTTTCTTTCTATACTTATTTCTTTAAGAAAAAACTAAGCAATTTCCTTTTTCAATTGTTAATTCATTCACTAACAAATGCATGTTGACATCGTGTTAATGGCTGACAAGGTGCTAGACACTGAAGAGAACGGTAAGCAAACCAGGTGAAGAGGAGGAGGGACAGAGATCAAGTTAGAGGGAATGAGATGGCCACTCAGAGGTCCTATCTTATGGTGGAACCTAGCGAGAGGCATAGGAGCACAGAGCCAATGAAGGGTTCACAACACGCCCCCCCCCATGGTCACATATACCAGGCGGACACTTCCGCCTAGCCAATTCCAGCTCAGGATAGGCATTTCCAGGTCAGGGCGTCTCTCGTAACCAGGATACCCGGCGGACCTGGACACCTCCGCCTAGCCAGTTCCAGGTCAAGATAGCTATTTCCGGGTCAAGGCGTCTCGGGTAACCAGGATCCATGACGCTACATGGCCACATAAGCGCGCAACGTGACCATGTGATCTACGCACATGCGTGGAGTAGTGACGTGACCTGGCCACGCCCCCAGCCGGTTTTAAAGCGGAATGCCATGTTCCCGGTTCTCTCTCTCTCTCCTTCTCTTCTTCTCCACACATGTGTCTCTCCCACAGACCTGAGCTCTCTCTATCCCTTTATCTCTAATAAAACTCTTATAAGCGGATTCTGTTGTGTTTCGTGACACTTCTTTGCAGGGTAAGAACACAATGCAGCTAAATAACTAACAGCCGACATGGTTACTTCTGCTTGGGAAGAAAGGAGCATGTTTTCATTAAGGAAGTGGCATTTGGGAATTTTGAAGGTCAGATTTAGATAAGCATAGAATGAGGGTGAAACGGAGTAGAAAATGGATGGCTATCAGCCAGCACGCAAGGGCATAGGTAGGGGGTTAAAACATCTTTGGGTCTCAACCTGGTTGCTGAGTACAAGACTGACAGTCAGATGTCATGGGAAATATTGCCGTAAAGGTCAATTGAGCCCAGAGGCAGAGACTCTCAACTCCATTGAAATGTATATGGAGGACAGAAACCTCCTTTTTTCCCCCCCTTTTATTTTATTTTATAATACCATTCAGTTCTACATATCAGCCACAGGTTCCCCTGTTCTCCCCCCTCCCACTCCCTCCCCTTACCCCAGCCCACCCCCCATTCCCACCTCCTCCAGGGCAAAGCCTCCCCTGAGGACTGCGATCAACCTGGTAGACTCAGTCCAGGCAGGTCCAGTCCCCTCCTCCCAGACTGAGCCAAGCGTCCCTGCATAAGCTCCAGAAACCTCCCTTTTAACAGCAGACTGAGATGCATAGTACATTCAACTTCAGTGTGATTTAGGATTTAGATAAACTATTGTTTTCCATGGGATAGGCTAGAATCAATATTTTGGAACATGAGGAAGAATTTTGACTTTGGAAATATATAAATGAACTCAACATAGTCAGAGGATTCTGTTGTGAGATTGATACCTGCTAGTCAATAAAACAAACTCTAAAATCAAGAAAATCACTGCTGCATTTACATATTTAAATTATGGCATTCTCCCAGGATGTGTGAACTTAAGAACAGCAGGGACTAATTTTATTGTCTTCCCTCTCAGCGGCTTGATATCCCAATCTACTATGTTATTTCTCTTTGTTAAGTGACATTTTTAAAACCTGAGTTTTAAAATGGATTTGAAGGTTTAATTAATGTTCTGTTTACTTCTGTTTCCTTTAATAAAGATGCGTGTCATCTGGAACTTGGAGTTAATGTAAATTCCATTTTCAAGTATTCCCTCGCCTAATGTTAATTAGCAGGCCTTCTGACTGTCATAATTATTTCCTGTCTACTCACACACTCCTTGTAAGGTTTTATGCTGCAGGACTTTGAAGCTACTGGACCTCTCACCCCCTTCCCAAGCTCCAAACACTTAAGGACTCTTCGCTGGGGGACTTCGTTTATATCCAGCTGATGAACCACGTAAAGTCAGCCATCAATACTTGTCATCCTTATTTTCCACTCCAGAAACTTCACACAAATAAGTTCACCTTGTTCAAAGTTAATACTGTATTTCATAAATGGTACCTTGGAGGGCTAATGTACTAACATAGAAGACAGAAGTTTCTGGATATAGTGCTAAGAAATAGATTTGGGTAGATGGAAAACCCATACATATATGTTTCTTAATTAAAACAAAATTTTTACTTATGATGTTTGTCTTAAAATTTTGATTTAGAAATCTGAAAGCCCCACCACATTTTTATTATTCTATTTGAAAGATTACTCTTGAATTTGATTTTATTAATGTGATAACATTTTTTTCTAACTAGGTTTCAATGGTTGAATAATATATGTATCTTTATATTAACAAATCTATGTTTACTATTATTGAGAGTTACTGGTAGTGTTGTGCCCAGGTTCTCAAGACCCCCAAGCAAGACCACCACAGAGCCAATATCCGATGCAAGCACACAGAGGTTTTTAATAACAAAACAAGCAAGCTTGGTCCAACATCCGACACAGCCGGTGGAGGAGGATGGCCCTGAGCACTCACTTTAAGGGGTTTATATAGGAAAGGTTTACATGCAGCTTGGGATTGGATGAGGGGGCTAGGGGTGAGGTAGTTCTTTGAAGTTACTGGCTGAACTATAAGAATGGGGTTACTGATGGCTAACAAGATTCAGGGTATCTACAGAGACATAAATTTTTTACTCCCTATGTCCTGCTTTTGTTGAACCCAGGATATATACATTCAGATTTATTGTTCCAGTCCTACTCTCTTAGAAGTTCAATTTCTGGTCAGTTGAGCCCATTACTCCCCATATCTTGTTTTGCCAAG